AACTGATCCCGGGACACCTTCGTTGATCACAAATCATCATATCTATCACGGGCATTCATCAATGGGATGAGCAAGGTCACTGGGTTTGTTAGTTCTTGTAGTTTGAAGTAAAGCCTACCTTCGATAAGGTTAGATGTCCATGCTTTGCTAACCGTGCATTTTTATTTTAATCACGGTTTTAAGTTTTGTCAACTTGTGCCTTGCTCTTTCGATTAAGTAGCTAATACCTTAGAATTAAAGCATTTTAACGAAAATACAAAGGCAAGATGCTTTTAGAAAATAGGCGTCAAAAGGATGCTCTAACCTATATTGTTGCAGTCTTCAGACGGTTACTCAAAAGTCTCTATCCTTGCTGTCCCTTTATTCCATGGCTTTATTGGGCGAGTCTTGTCACTTTTCAAGGCATAAAAATGTGTCGCTAAGTTTTGGACGAGCCAACTCTGATTGAGAAGACTAGATCATATGATCATATTATGTAAAAGCCCCAGTCACATTTGCTTACGACGGCGGCCGTAGGTTTGCAAATTCGGTTAAGAAAATCTACATCGTATTCCTCATCCCTATTTTTTATGCTGCTGATTTCTCTCGATTTTGGGAAGCTACGGCTGCCGTACGATCGCCGTAGATGAAATGTGACTGAGGCATAGCTACAGATGAAGCTATCTTTTAAAAATGAAATCACACCATTGCCAAGTGTACGCCGTAACTTATATCTATGGTTATTTTCTCCTCCATACTGGACTAATAAAGTCACAATGTTACCCCCGAGGGTCAAAACGTACACTGAACTTAGTGTTGCACCGAGGATCGAAGCTTACACTGGACTAAGCAAGTGTCATCCCGAGGGTCAAGGGTTACAATGGACTTAGCATGTGTCACCCGAGGGTCAACGGTTACAATGGACTTAATAAGTGTCACCCCGAGGGTCAAACCCTACACTGGACTTAGCAAGAACTACCCCATGGGTCAAAGCCTACATTGGACTTAGCAAGTGTCACCCCGAGGGTCAAAGACTACACTGGACTTAGCAAGTGTTACCACGAGGGCCAAAGCCTACATTGGACTTAGCAAGTGTTACCACGAGGGTCAAAGCCTACATTGGACTTAGCAAGTGTTACCACGAGGGCCAAAGCCTACATTGGACTTACCAAGTGTTACCACGAGGGTCAAAGCCTACATTGGACTTAGCAAGTTTTACCCCGATGGTCAAAGCCTACATTGGACTTAGCAAGTGTTACCACGAGGGTCAAAGCCTACATTGGACTTAGCAAGTGTTACCACGAGGGTCAAAGACTACACTGCATATATCAAGTGTCTCCCGATGGTCAAAGCCTACACTGGACTTAGCAAGTGTTACCACGAGGGCCAAAGCCTACATTGGACTTAGCAAGTGTTACCACGAGGGTCAAAGCCTACATTGGACTAAGCAAGTGTTACCACGAGGGCCAAAGCCTACATTGGACTTAGCAAGTGTTACCACGAGGGTCAAAGCCTACATTGGACTTAGCAAGTTTTACCCCGATGGTCAAAGCCTACATTGGACTTAGCAAGTGTTACCACGAGGGTCAAAGCCTACATTGGACTTAGCAAGTGTTACCACGAGGGTCAACGCCTACATTGGACTAAGCAAGTGTTACCCCGAGGGTCAAAGTCTACATTGGGCTTAGCAAGTGTTACCACGAGGGTCAAAGCCTACATTGGACTAAGCAAGTGTTACCACGAGGGTCAAAGCCTACATTGGACTTAGCAAGTGTTACCACGAGGGTCAAATCCTACATTGGACTAAGCAAGTGTTACCACGAGGGTCAAAGCCTACATTGGACTTAGCAAGTGTTACCACGAGGGTCAAATCCTACATTGGACTTAGCAAGTGTTACCACGAGGGTCAAAGCCTACATTGGACTTAGCAAGTGTTACCACGAGGGTCAAAGCCTACATTGGACTTAGCAAGTGTTACCACGCGGGTCAAAGCCTACATTGGACGTAACAAGTGTTACCACGAGGGTCAAAGCCTACATCGGACTTAGCAAGTGTTACCCGAGGGTCAAAGCCTACATTAGGAGTCGCAGTTCTCTTCTAAAGAAGTAAAACTGAGATATTAAAAAGGGTAATGGAAAGGGAAAATTATTCCCTGAGTTATGGTAAACGCTAAAATATTACACTTAAATCTTTCATATTACCTTCAATTATTCTCGAGTTACTTAAGATTAATTTGTATTTTGATGAAGATTACAGCAAACAAATAATAGAAATGGCCTAATAGACATCAAGAAGATATAACAACCTCTAATTCGCTATGATAGATTAATACTGTACAAGAACTTGTTTTACCTTGGATTAAATTTACCTTTTTACCTATGATTCTGACAAGTGTTAAAACATGTATGAGCAAAATGGCTGTTCTTGTTTTGAATGATGGGTTAGTTCAACGATTAAGGCAAAACATGTCCAATTAGTTTAAAATATGAGAAAATAGGGAAAATTATGATCTCGGCAAAATTACCGCATATACAATATTTGGTTATTAACTATATTATTATTAAGATAGGTCTACCTATGATCTATCATACACCTACATTTCCAAGAACATAGAAAAACAACTTTTATTTACTTGCATTTCCATCAACGATACATCAATCCTCACTTTTATTTCAATGGATTCTGCAATTTGATACAGTGATACCTGTAAAGTAGAATACATCCATGTATGTTATTCCCCCATAAGTTAACTTTTCAAAATCCCATTACCTAGCCCTAAGTGCAAATGAACATCTGAAAGTAGATCACCTCTCAAGTGTATTGTATTGTATTGTATTGTATTGTATTGTATTGTTTTGTATTCTATTGTATTGTATTGCATTGTATTGTACTGTATTGTTTTGTATTGCTTTGTATTGTATTGTTTTGTTTTGTATCGTATTGTATTGTGCTGTATTGTATTGTTGGGATTTTTACTCTGGCATCCTGATACTTTTTCCCATTTCATTTTTCTGTTTCATTGGCAACTTGCTCTGATTATGGTTCTTCTTTTTTCAATTGTCAATTGCCGATGTCAATAATCTGCAAAAGGATAATAAGCTCATAATTATGGGACAATTGTGATAAAACCATTGAAACGGGACATCTATCACAGTGTAACAACTTTCAAACATAAAAAAATCATGATCATTAATTGCTTACAGCAATAATGCCTAGTCTTGTTTCAAGCCGTTGTGCCCACCCACCTACATTTCTCCTCTTCCATGAAGAAGTTTTTGTGGGTGTGGGGCAGGGGTCATTCTGATTCACATTTCATCTTTCTATTTCACTTTAAACATCTCGTGGCTGAGGAGGATTGAGATGTCATGGTGTATCATTGTGGGTAGGGGCAGGGGTCTAGAGACAACCACTTGTTCAGTTAAAACACATACCATATGTCTTTAGCTCCCGAAGGAGCAGCCTGACTGATTCCTTATGGAGAAACTCCTCTCAGGTAACCAGGCCAATCAACTCCTAGATTAATAAAGATCAAATGTGGTTGATGCAAGCGTGATCAATCTTGCGAAATGACATGAATATCAATGTTAATTCATATTCAGGCCAGTTGGTATTGACAACTGCCTGATCAACTAATCAAATTTACTCGTTTAAAAAACAAAAAATCCGTATCCACTCAAATCAATTTTAAAATCTCTACTCACAAAAATCTTTTGTGGTTCAAACTCTTAAGATTACACAATTTGAATCCCCATAGAATTGTCGTAATTTCTCGATATTTAACTAAAGTTTCATTCATGTTTTATATTAATTAAGTACCCATTAGGGATTTTATGTGAGGGTTATAAAACATATAATCAAATAGCCTTTTATCCTTTGACACCATTTAATTGACTTTCACTGTTATTTAAATATCGAAATGAACATCAATCAAATAATTAACAGATATTTTGTCTAAACTTTAGTATAGCTGATGTAATACACAGATTTTTTCAAAATTTTGAATGAGATGAACTGCATTAATTCAGTATATGCACATAGGCCTGCATGGTCTGTTCAGAGAAATACAATGAAGTACAGTAGATTTCTAATTAAGGATTGTCATTTTGCTTTCTCTTTATGACATATCATTACTATTGAAGATCTTCAAAAGTTTTCCTGGGCTTTCAGATAGATTTTAGATATTTAGCGATGTTTAGGTTATGCTGTTAAAAAAACAATTCCCATAAGCTCTTAAATTGGAAAGAGCTTTCTGCAATTATTTCTTGCTTACACCACTTTTTGGTCCTTTGTTTCAAAACATCGACTTCGTCAGGTTCGTGGGCAGTTGACCCAGATATACCTTATGATATGGAAACACATCAATTATGAATGTCTTTGATGTGATATTTACTATGAAAATGTAATTAATTTATTGAAAATAGCATCCTAGTTGAAATCTAGTTGGTATCTAATCAAAAGTTTTTTTAAAATTTTCAGTTCATTTAATTTTAGGAATGTTATCAGATTATCAATAGTTGTGGGAGAACTAAGTTAAATGATGATTTTGGTTAGTGAATTAGTGTTGATTTTTGTATATTCAGGTGAGACTAACCAACATTTTAAAAGTTTGTATATGAGGGGAGGGGGGGGGGGTCAACGTAATGAAATGAACTTTGCTTTCCCACAACTGTTGATAAAATTGGTCACCATCTCTTTAATACAGGTTGACAATAAAATGTGACATCAATTCGACTTTGGGGTATATCAATGAGTGAAAAAGAATGTATACTCTGAGTGCCAGGTTTAAAATGTGAATTAAATGATGAAATATTGGATTAGCAAGAAATAAAGACTATTTACAAAATAACCAAAGGAAGTTCATGAGCAATATAAGATTTTTAAAGAGTCTTGTCTTAAAAGACTAATGTACTTTAGTTGACACATTAAGATCATATGAGCATCAAACTGTAATTTGCAATAGTAAGAGATTGGTATGTAGATTAAGGGCAAAGGGTACTAATACATACAGTACACAGGAGAGATTTATATATTTTAGCATCCATATTTTTATATTTATTAACAGCCTTAAGCTTAGAATGCACAGCACATTGAACAGTTTGGGTTATAACCAGATACACATTATCACTGGTCAGTGTCAGGATACGTTGACTACCGTTACTGTGTCTTTCAAAATGGTGGACAAAAATCAATTATTTTGAACTTCTTCATTTTGGTATGATTATGGTATTTACATACCAGATAATATATCATCTTGATATTGCCATAATTCTCTATGAAAGTTGGTTTTATATGATGGAAAGGAAGACGTTTCAAAATCATCTATTCTTATCGGCCATTTTGAAAAATACGGTAACAGCAGTCAATGTATTCTCATGATTCCCAGTGAGTATAATACAGTCAGAAAGCATTGCAAAAAAATAAATACATATAAAGTATGTTATATTTCATCGATAATGTACATTTAGATTTTTAAATTATACTTGTACACTAAACTAAACATATTTCAATTTCAATTGTACTTTGACATCCGTTATACCTTTCAATTGTACTTTGACATCTATTATACCTTTCAATTGTACTTTGACATTTAATAGTAGGCCTCAAATATCAAAACACAACTGAGGGATATTTCTAATATTTTTGAACTGATTTTGAACGTAAAAAACTTCAGAATTCTGATAAAAAAAGTTTGGAAAATAGCCCTGATTATATTTGCTACCATGGAAAAAACTAAAATTGTGATAATGTACATACGGTAAGTGAATAATTGCTATTTGTACAATTTAACAAATATCCCATTGAACACATGTGATCAATGGTAATGAACATGATTCCTATATGAGCACCATTTTTAATCAGTTCTTATATCATATTGCATTGCACATTATGTACCATAATAGAGTATGTACATTTAAATATACAATATGTATTACTATAAACACCCGCCAAAATAATTTAAAAAATCAGTTTTCCAACTGATTATTGTGGAGTTTTTTGTGGGGGGTGTATTTCTCGACACACAACCATACATACATCAGGAATGTAGAAACTCTAATCTATATTGACTGCATGGTTTGCAAATGTTTTTTTTGGGGAGAGTACTACATAAAATTGCCTACATGCCCAAAAAGAAAAAAATGCATCACTCTTATCATGTTTTCTCTCATATTTTCTCATAAAAACATGGAAAAAGTGAGCCAGGAATTATATGTTCAATGCGAAGAAATCTTTCTAAAATAGTAAGAAACTAAATAGTATTCACAAAACTTTTTCACAAAACATTTTTCAAAATCCTATATATAAGCAGCTATCACAATATACGCACATTAATTGCTCAGTAAAATCATACAAGTTGTCTCAAAAATGTAAAAAGATTGAACACACACATGCAATTATTTCTCATTTTTTCATATGTGGAGAAAAGAAGTGGTTTATATGTTCATAGGACCACGATTCTTTCCATAATTCTATCTCCTCGTTTTGCCACAATATTTTCTATCACAATTTCTCATTGCTCGTATATAAAATTCACAACCAGTTGAATATGGGAACTGAATATAATATATATGTGGAGATTGCTTTAAGTACCAACTAGAAATAACAGGCTTTAAGACTATCCAGCTATTAGACCAGGTGGTCCTATAGATGAGTAAACACCCCATATAAGACCATGGTTCTGTAAGTGACTGACAATGGTGGAAATCAACTGGTGATTCAACAATATTCCCAATACCTCAATTTTCAACAGAAGACTTCTATTTTGTAGATTCATATTTTCTTATGGTGTTCAATTTTTTATGCAATCATATCTTTTTATCAAATTGGAGCATGGTCCTTCCCACACAATTATGTACAGTTAATATAAATGATTCAAAAATAAATGGATGACATTCATTTGTGGAGTCAATTGAGGGAAAAATTCCAACCAAACTTCAAATGTCTGTCTGCTCATGTTTATTCCTTGCATTTCTCTCCATAATTTGAATAAAGTGTCTGATTTTCTGTCATTTCTATACAATTTAGAGTGTAAACTACAAGTCTGTTAACTTTATTCCTTGCTGATTCCACTCTTAAATGCTTAATTTTGCATTTCAAAACATGACCATCGCGACATTTTATCAATAATACATTGGCATATAGAATCACATTGTAATATTTTCTTTAGAATAATTTACATCCTGGTAACTACAGTATATATACAGATATATAAAAGCACTGTCACATTATAATTATTTACGTATAATAATTACAGTATATTCCCCTAATATACATATATTTAGTTTAAGAATATAGTCATATTGCACATGCAAAAATATTCAATAAGAAGTGTCGATAAATCAGAATCTGTATACAAAGAAAATTGCGCTTATTCACAATATCAAGAAATCTAATACAATAGGCCATTATATCAACAAACAACTTATAGTTATCAACAAGCAACCAATCAACGTATTCAATCAACCCTCCATTAAATATCTTTTGGTGAAATAAAATGAGCTAAAATTCTCACTCCTCAGACACCATTTTGCTCATAAACGTTTTGAAATAAATAACCAGATATGTATACAAACATTTAATATGATATATTTTCAAATGTACTGTTATTATTTGTAGTGGATAATAATTTAATACAGGGTGCCGTTTCACAAATAAAGTAACACAGTAATACAGCTATCACCTTGCAGCATCACATTTTTCACGCTGGGCCCCAGAAACCAATTTTTTACATTTTCTATTGTGAAACGTTCCCCTGATTTCTGTATTGTTATTTAGCTTTACTGGTTAACTCCTTTGCCATCTTATAATACTTGGAGAATTTAGCATTATGGTCCAATGGGAGATAGATGTATGGGCTCATATTGAACGCCTCTTTGATCCCATATTTTTTCACACTAGTCAGGTGACAACGGCTTAAATGGTACCTATATGATCCCTTTGACGCAAACTGACGACTACATGCCTGACATCGAAAATCACCATGTGTGTCTGAATCACTATCAGATTGATTTTTCTCACCAGATGGGGACTCTGGAGGTCCTCTATCATCGTCAAGTGGTGACGGAGATTTTCCATCGTGACTCGTATTGGAGTGTGGGGAATGAAGCATGCTGGGATTCATGAGCATGACGGCTTGATCCCCAGGGTGAACTCCCCCAGATTTAAGCTGATCTGGGTGAGTGATCAACCTTTGTAGACTATCTAGGGGGTGCTCTGTATTTAGGTGTTGTCCATATACAAGTCCCTTTAGTGATTCCAAAGCTGAGCCATCGCCATTAGACCCACTTCCCGGTGAATTCAAATATTTCTCTTTTTGATCTTCTGCCTTCGAGGATTTAAAATCATCATCATCTCGTAGGTATTTATCCTCGAGTTTTTCAATTTTTGAATTGTCAGAGTCATTACTTGTATCATTCTCATGTTTCACACCATCTGCAAGATTGAGGGGTTTGTCGCCATCTTCGATACCATTCATAGAGGACATGCTTCTCTCGCTATGTTCCGATTTGATGTGAATCTTTGGTTTCATAGCTTGAACTGTACCTCGTTCCTCTTTGTATATGACGCTACCACGGTTGCTATGGCGTGGAATGTCCATATCTTTATCCCGGGGGTACAGCGACCCGAGGGGAAACATACTAAAGGCATTGCGGTACTTCTCACTAGGGTCCACATAATATTTCCCCATTTTCTTTGGGGGTTCCATAAAGCTTTTCTCGATAAAACTCTCCATTGCAGCTAGAGCTGAAGGCCCCTTGGAGGATTTAGGCGACGTTCGATCTTTCTCATTTGGGGTGAGGTATTTGAATTTCTTATTCATGGTTTTCTTATGGTCCAGTAATGGAGACGGGGTGCTACGACTGTCATACTCCGATGCCGAACGCTTACGATTATTCTCCGAATGAGATTCAATTGAGGCTTTAGAATCAGAGGCTAGCTCAGGTGTTGAGCACGGAGATTTAATTGTGTCATTAGCTGAACTCCCCGTTGGACTGGTACAGTTACTTTCTATGGATTTCAAACGGGCCCGGAGAGCATCAATCACTTTCGATTTAGTTTTAACACATAGGCGTACATGCTCTACAAATACTGAAGTATCAATTTTATCACCACAACTTTCACATGTGACTTTGATATCGTCATCCTTTTCAGAATTATCTGGGTCTTTTTCAGCTGAATTTTCTAGCCGCTCTCTCTCCTCTTTCACCAAAAGTTTTTTGTATTTCAATAGAGATGAGAGTGTAGAGTCCTCTTTATCGTTATTATACAGAACCTGGGGTTCCCCGATTAACTTTTCACGCTTTATATCATCCACTGAGTGTCGAGATCGGCGGTCGGCAATCAATTCTTGACCCCGTGATGATGACACTCTGGGAGGGGACTCTCTTTCTCGTTCATACCGTCCTTCATTACCTGGGGATTGTGACAATCTCATTGGTTCATTTCGTGATCGCTCTTCGTGATTTCTCGGATATGATGCCCTCCTGTCTTCAGCATACTTATGGGGGTAGGGTTTTCTATCCTCTGGGTTGTACTTGCGTGGAGGAATACTATCCAAGGAAGGGGGCGTCGTTGACCTTCGGGGCAACTCAGCCCTGGAACTTGATGAACGCCTGAGTAATGGGTCATAACGAGACGACATTGCCTCAAATTTGGACATTGTCTCCGATTTCAACAGATCAATTTTTGACAACGTTGATATATGTTTGGATTTCAATGTCTGTTCTGAAATGTTAACACTGTTCGATTTCAGTACCTGTTTTTTATGGTGTCCTGATATGACCATATGGTTTGCCAATCCCTCCATATCACTATATACCTCCTGACAGACTTTACATTTGAATACACATTCACTGTCTTCGCAGCGTTCGCAATACGTCGAGCATTTATGCACTTTTTTCCCTTCCGTGCTAACAATATTCGCATAGTGCCCTGTCTGCATCATATGAACTGTTAATTCTGGGAGAGATTTGAACGATTCACCACATTTCATACAGCGTAGAATTTGCCGAGTTTGTTCAGATCCATGATTTAACCACATATCCTGTCCACGCACAAGTTTCGGGTATTCGAGATATGCGGTGTTTTTAGAAGAACTGGGGGCGTGCCCTGTGTCCTGCATGTGCATTGTAAGTCCATATAAAGAATGAAACTTTTTCATACAACTACATATAAAGTCTGTATATTTAGCAGGGTCTCCGGGACGTTTCTCCATATCAATGTCCCGCATATTGGGTTTCCCATTGTGATTATGGGGTCCAGTAGTTGACGGCAATTTTGGCTTGAAGGATTTCTGCAACATTTTCTCATCTATCTGGCTCGAAGCAAGGTGATGGCTTGTTTTATGGTCCAATCCATTCTTATAGGGGGTCACCTTGCTATGGGGGACAATTTTACTGGGGGGCACAGGAGTGGAGGTGTGGTTGCTATGATTACTAGGCTTACGTGGTTGGTATGACATGGCTGTTAGGAACTGTTTAGAGAAGTCATACGATGGCAGATTTGTTGATGAGAGATCATAATACCTCCTTGATGGATCAGATCCATATCGTGACGCCCTTGGAGTCAAACCTTCAATCTCAAAATTACCCCCAAACTTTTTCTCGAGGGTAGCAAGAGAGGATCCAGTATTGGTGGTTGGTTTACTGTGATTTGGGACTATTTTCTTTGTTGGAATGTCACTGTTGGACTTTGGTTTTGATAAATCCAAGGGTTGGTCTTCATCAATTGGGGTATAATCATCGATATATTTACTGTGGAGATCTTTTAGATTTTTAGAGGGACTAGATTCTTTTTCATTTGGTAAAAAGTTTGAGTATTTGGCAAATTTTGATAGAACGGCTAGGTACGACTCAGAATCAGGGAGAGGAAGAGTGGGGGCTGAAGGTGACCCCATGTCCTTTTTGTCTACGTGCATTCTGGGACTACGAGGAGATGCATTGTCATCTCTATTAAACTCGGGCGGTGAGTTAGATTTCCTTTTCAATGTCTTTTCCAATTGTTCATTTTCATCATCCATGGCATCATGTGGAACATTCTCCTTTGTATTCTCTATTTTTGATTTAGACTCTGTATCCTCATTTTGAGTGATGTCATTGTCCTTTGAATCGGATAAAGCACTGGGAGATTTAACGTCCATTTTTGATTCATCAACCATGCTTTTCTCCTCTATATTATTATTCAGTCCTGATGTTTTATTCACTTCGAGACTGCTCTCATCACCAATTGATGCTAAACTAGTGTGATCAGATTCTGGGCTCTTTAGGATTTCTTCTGCATCATCTATATTTGTGTCTTCGTCACTGGAGGATGCCTCTGAGCTACTCCCGGAGCCATCTGACATTGCATCGGGGTTGTCAGTATTGACGATATTGTCATCTTTTCCTTCACTGCCGTCTTCAAGACCTGCAAGTATACATAAAGGACAACTCATTATTATGTGTTTCTTTTGATTTGTCATATATTTCTTTTTTTTGATTAAGAAGCTGAAGAAGCATAAAATAGTAACAGCATCTGAAAAGAAACTTTTTTTCAAATTGTGATTAAATAGGCAGAAAAAATGTGAATTTTCAAAATACACATGAATTACAAAAACAACATTCATATACTACGACACTGACAAAACCTTGAACTTATTTTTTTAGACTTATTATCATTTCAATTTCATATTAATTCATTCTATATCTGCCATGTAATTTATCGTTTTGCTCAGATGTAGAAAGGTTTTATTAATGTTTATTTCTTGGCAGTTACGACACATAATATTCATGCTGCGTGCCAACTTACACGTACACCCATTAAAACCCATAATTCTTTAAAACCATCATACTTTCATGAATTATTAAATACTTTCTTTCATACTGACATAAGGCAGTGCATACATGTCATAAGAATTTATGGGGTCAGGATATACTTGTTGGATACTTTGCAAACAATATGTTATAACGACCTTGTCAAGTCATATTTGTTGGCTTAGTTCCCCTTTCTTCGCATTCTCTCTCTTCATCCTAATTTCACTCGATTTCACTCATTTGTGTCTCATTAAAGCTTTATTTGAATAAAATGTTGAATTTTCTATATAGTGTTAACTTTATGCCGGTTGAATTAATCCCATCTCAATTCTGCTATTTGAGGGTCCATTTTATTTTTTAACATTGGTGTCTGGTATGTGTTCATGACCTTGACTACATCCATCACTGACTGTATACAGTGAAACCTGTATATATGAACGCCTTTCAAATCCAAACATCTCTTAATGGGAACACTTTTCAAAAATGGCATATGGGCTATGTAAGCCAGCACAGAATATGCAAATTAGATAGAAGAGATATAGATAAATGTATTTTATTTGTGTATTTGTTATCATCCATCTACTTGCATGATTATAAAACCTTGAAATATGAACACCTGCTGTTCCGAACACTTTTGTCCCAGAAGTGTTAGGATTGGACAGGTTTAATTGTAGTTCATACTTTTATGTCAGAATGAAAAATGCACATAATCATAAACAATTGTATAATATTAGACTTGTACCAGCACAAAAATATCTTATGAAATTAATATTCTTTTTACACTTTATATATACATATTTGTACCATAAAATGGTATTCATATAATATCTATAAGAATGGGTATTTTATTGAAATTTAACAAAAGAAATGAAGAAAATGGAGTGAAACTTTGAAATTGGCCATAATTCTAAATTATTTAAGGAAATCCAATATGTCTATCATTACGACCCAGCTTGATACAATTCTAACCAAGATTAAAAGTCACCTAAATCAAAATATCAATATATAAAAATCCTGATTATAGTTCTCAAATTTTTAAAAATGAAGACAAATCGAAAACAAACGAGACATTTTGACGAAAGTTTATGATTAAAACACAAAACAGTTTTTATACTGTAATTATTTTTGATCTAATATCTAAGCATCATCCAATGTTGATATATTTTGCTATAATTATAAGCCATCTCAGATCAAACAAAAGCAATAAACAAAACAGAAGAGGTTAAAAATGCATAAATATTGCGGAGATGTTCTTATTAATTTTCATATAATTATTATTTACGACGGCAAGATGTCAATGGGTTGAGTTTCAATCAAACGCCATTTTGATTTATCAGAGTGGTACAAGACTTGAATCTGAAGAAAAAAGAAATACAACATGTTATTACTAATATGCTATCACTGGTATCTATTTATTTGATATACATATACAAAAATTAAGAATTCTTACTACAACAATCAATATGTCTTGTCTAGGTACAAAACGGTCCTCTTTCCCCTTCCATCCTTCTTATCCTTTAAATAAGATAAAAATATATATAATGAGATGAAGAAAATAGTTAGTAAAATTACAATGGGTGATCTAATTTTGATCTAATGATAAATAATTTAATTAATATGTGATAATTGCTATTGACTGTAAGCCTATTCAGAGAAATGTTTATCTATCTAGAAAGGTCTGTACTGTAATGTTTTAATTCTATTACTTCAACGTCTTCTAAACAAGGCATTAACATGACAACATGTCAACATGTAGTTGCTCACAATATAATTAGTTCAATGTTAAGTCAGATTTGAACTTCTGAGAACTTGTAGATGATTTTGAAAAGAAAAACTAGACAATTTGGGGCAAGTTGAAAAAAGACCTTTTTGACCTTCTTTACCTTGAGAAGGTCATTGAAGGTCAAATATTAAATCTTAAGTCAGATTTGAACTTCTGAGAACTTGTAGATGATATTTTTAAAGTCAGTCTAAACAGTATTTGTTATAATGTTATGGGCTCCTCATTACTTACATACATGTATTATCATTACTTAGTGCAAACCACATATACTTTAGAATGTTTTTTCTCTTTTGTCATCAAAAAATAAACAATCAGACAAAAAAGATTAACAATGGATACATTTTTTCAGTGCAATATAATCCTAGGTGGAATATAATCCTAGTTCGTTAAACATGAATCAAAACATGAAAATGATTGTTACAACCACCAATCAAGAACTACCTAAAAAAACTTGAAATATAACCGAGAAAAAATATTGATGTATGACTTTTTGAACCAGCTAATAGCCTGTTTATCGCACCTTAGAATGCATACACGTTTTAATTAGAAGCTTAAGCTGATTTACGACCCTTGGCTACATATTATTTTGAAATTGGGGAATAATCGTTATCCGTGAATCATTTTGAAAACTCCATAATGAGTTCATATATCAGGAGAACAATGGCTGACATTTTGAAACACAAGGTACTTTTGACAGTTCAGTCAAGATTTATGGAATGTGTAACATTGGGTCCATCAGATCAGCCTCAGAAGATGGTGATTGCCGGTCAATGAAAAAATCACAGAAGTAATATTTTAAAAAATTGAAAATAACATGAAATAGATGAGCAATCCAAGAATAAAGAACAATACATGAAGTAGGCACTCTAAATTGTATAATGATGCAACAAAATCAAACAGTTCATTGAAATTTTGGAGAGAAAACATGAATTTAATGTTAGCAGACGGACATTTTCAGCGTGGATTTTTGATTGATGGAGTTGCTTAACGACAGGCCATCCTTTGTTGCTAGGCAGTGATTAACTATGTGCAGGTGATGGATTGACATCAAAGTTCCGAGCTGATCGCCCATTACCAAAAATAATTAATGACATCTCAACTACCATGAACCATTGTGGTTTTAAGCCCTAAAGGATGGAAGTTCGTGAACCACCCCATGTTGATCGATCCCATACTTTAGATGCTCCCAAACCAACCGGAACTGCACATACATGATGTTTGCAAAGGATTCTGGTATTGATGGCCTCCTCTGAGACAAAGGTGATACAAACCGTGAGGAGACGCTTATATGCGAGGCTCATTATGACGTGACATTGATATATGCTCTAGGTCGACAGGTCTCACTCATATGCTTCATATCATATCTGACTCTTACATTAACGAAACAAACCAAACACTCTTTTTAATTAAGCAACCTGAGAATGCATGGAATCGCCATGTAAAAGCCAATGAACTTGAGAAACAACCCAACTAATGGGTACAAAAACATGTACAATTCAATTAATTTAATTTGTAAAGAAATACTAGCGACTGATGTGATGTATTTTATAAGAGAAACTTCAGGCTATAATTTCCATTAGGAACGTAATCAGATATATAGACAACATAAATAAAATCCATGTCTGCTCAATCTTATTCCGCATATTCTCACCAAAATTTGAATGAACTTCCAGATTTTTTGGCATTTCCCAACAATTTAGTGTTACATCTACATCTTTCTCTGTGTTATTTCTTGCTAATTCATACATTTTCTACTCAATTTCATGAAATTAAAAACAATCACTGTGACGTTTGCTCCAGAGAAGCTATCTGTTTAGCCTGGAATTCAATGTCCATGTTGACTGATGTACAAATTATTATGGTATACTGATACATATATTGTACAATTAAATTACACACATTTTCATGATATTGTGGTACACAATGCTGGCCAAAGAAAAACCCCATTAATTAACATTAAAAATGAATCTTAAAACCATTAACCTATATTCTACAAGATTAATTAATGATGATTCTGTTTATCAGACTAGAACCAACACCAATATGATTTAGCAAATGACTATGATTCTATCACAGAAAGGAGGGAGAATAAGCCTTTATGTCAGATGCTATCTCCATTCCATTCCTCTTCCCCCGTGTCATTCCTCTTCCCAATGCAATTCTTCTTCCCCTATGCTATTCCTCTTCCCCCATGCCATTCCTCTTCCCCCAATGCCATTCCTTGTCCCCCCATGCCATTCCTCATCCCCCATGTCATTCTTCTTCCCCAATGCGAGTGATTCCTCTTCCCCCATGCCATTCTTCTTCTCTCTAGCCCCAACCTCTACCATTTGTCTCTCATGCCATGTTCTTCACGTAACACCTGCTTTGTAGTCTTAAACAATAGCATCTAGACAAAGCCTGAATCTGAATCAAATATCATAATGGTCATGTTCTAAAATGGCACAATGGTCATGTTCTAAAATGGCACAATGGTCATGTTCTAAAATGGCACAATGGTCATGTTCTAAAATGGCACAATGGTCATGTTCTAAAATGGCACAATGGTCATGTTCTAAAATGGCACAATGGTCATGTTCTAAAATGGCACAATGGTCATGTTCTCAAATGGCACAATGGTCATGTTCTAAAATGGCACAATGGTCATGTTCTAAAATGGCACAATGGTCATGTTCTAAAATGGCACAATGGTCATGTTCTAAAATGGCACAATGGTCATGTTCTAAAATGGCACAATGGTCATGTTCTAAAATGGCACAATGGTCATGTTCTAAAATGGCACAATTGTCATGTTCTAAAATGCAAAACAGAATAAGCAAGGTGAAAGACAC